AAAGAAAAAAAAAAAAAATTCAAATACAAGAGGGCCGTAAGTAAATTATATATGTTGTAGACTCGAGACTCTAGGTTGTCTTTAGGGGGCTATAACAGTGGTATAACTGTTTTAATGTTTTAATAAATTAACAGGTCTCAATCTTATTCATGGTCCGGAACCTTTATTCACCTGTTAACAACAGACTTTTAATTAGCTTAGAACGTCTAACGTGAACTAATTAAAATTATGATATAATTAAAAGCCAACTTGTTTAGGAATTGCCTTTTCATAAATACACCCAAGTGTCTTGCTAAAGCTTTTTCTCCACTCAGACTTTCTTTCTTCGCGTTTCCAGAAAAAAAGGTACTGTTTTAAAAGTGCCACATAACCAAACAATTGTTAGATTAAGAAGAGGTCATTTCAAAATCGAAGTTTTATTTGAAAATGCGCGAGATCAGGAACTTATCTGTGAAGATGCTGACGCTAAACTTTTCAACTGCGGTTCCAGTTTTCAACCTTTCAATAAACGCTTCTAAAGCAAACTCCTTGTGTTTTGAAGATGCTTCTGTTGTCCGTGCACTCGCTTATGTTATCATACTACTGGTATCTCTGGCGGGAAACTCCATGACCATCGCAGTGGTCTTCAGAGGTAGGCTTCATATGAAGAATGTCCATTTGTTTCTGCTCAACATGGCCATAGCAGACTTGGTTGTCACAGTGGTGTATATGCCAAGAATGGTGGTGATGATGTTGTATGGTAACTCGTGGCTTGTTACAGGAACATTTGGTCTGATTCTATGCCGAACTGTACCATTCCTACATCACATGTCCATCCTCGTGTCTGTGTTTACTATTCTTGGAGCAACTTTGGATCGGTTTTTCGCCATGGTCTTCCCATTACGCAAGATCATGACAAGCTGTGTTGGAAAAACAATCGTGGTTTGTATCTGGCTCGTCGCTGGAATTCTTCGTTTGCCGTATGCCATCTCAGCCGTGTTGAAAAACAATGGCTACTACTTTTCTTGCTCGGGAAATCTCAAACGAATCTTTGGGAAACACACAGAGCTTTACCACAGCGTTTTGCTTGCAATTTATTGTACTCTTTTAGTAACAACGATCGTTCTTTATTCTGTAACAATATTGAAACTGAAAGGAAATGATCCACCAGTACTTTGTAATGATGCAGCACGTGCTAAAAGAGCACAAGCATCCAAAAAGCTGCTGAACATGTTGATTGTAATCCTAGTCTGTTTCATATTGTGTTGGTTTATGTATTTTTTTGCTTTGAGTATCTTACCTCGACCGCTGTCTTGTGAAACAATGTTTTTTCGCTTCTTCCTCGCACACAGCAACAGCGCACTAAACCCATGTATTTTGGCTGTTTTTGATTTTCGCTACAGAAGAGGCTACAAAACAATTCTTAACAAGATTGCTCCTTGTTTTAAGGTTATCGAGTACACAGATAGTGTCCCCGAAGCTTCTGTGAGTACCATTAAAACGCGTACTAATTGCAGACTTGCAAATTCCAGGGTGTAGTATTTTAGTTTGATCCGATTCAGGCACATCTTAAAAATAAAATTATTATTTTACTACGAAACTGAAATCTACTATTACAACTTGTACATAAACGTAATCACTAATCAATAATGGTAACGTCTATAGATACGCTGTGATTTGATTGCTGAGTAAATGGTTTGGTGAACCAATAAGGTTTTTCCATGCCTTAATCATTATACATTCAAATATCAGCACATTTTACGAAAGTCGAAGATTCTTTTATCCTGATAATAGGTGCATTTGATGGACTTAATCTACTCTGTTGCACCTAACATTGTTAGTGTTTTTTTTTTCAATTTTAATTTTGGAAGCTTGTTAGACTTGTTAAAGAATATATTATATTCTAAAAAGAGAGTTATGTATTTATAAATGACTTTTTACGGTCGCAACGGATAAAAATAATTATAATAATAATAATACTTTATTTCTTAAAACGACGCATTTAAAACTCTCAATGCTTTTTAAAAATGGAAGAAAAAATATATGTCATTGAGATTCCTAAGGTACTTAAAAAGTCGTTGTCAATATTAAACTATAAATACGTGAAAAAGAAGAGAGAGAGAGAGAGAGAGAGAGAAAACAAAACAAAACAAAATATAAAACTAAGTAACTGCAGACATTACCCGCCCCTCTTCTCCATGAGGTGGGTGTCAGAACAGAAGAAACTAGAAAATTCAAACAATTTAAGAATTTTCTACAAATGAAAAAAAAAAAAACAACAACAAAAAACATTGGGCTAGAGGACTGGCTACATTATAACTAAAGAAGAAAAAATGAAAATTTCAATATCAATTTGTTTCATCATTTTAGAAGTTGTTAAGCTTTGCAAAAAA